CGAAAAAAAAAAAAAAAAAAAAAAAAAAAAAAGAAAAGTAAAGATACCTGACACCTGCCACTTAAAGAAGGAGAGATTGGGCTGGGGATTTAGCTCAGTGGTTCTGCCGCCTGCCTCATAAGCACAAGGCCCCAAGTTTGATCCCTGTACCAAAAAGAAAGAAAGGAGAGATTTTTTTTGGCTCACAGTTTCAGTCCCTCTTCAGCTGACTGTACTGCAGAAACAGGATGGCCAGGGGCCCCAGTGGAGGAAAAAGTGTTCAACCTATGGCAGCCAGGAAGCAGAGACCAAAGGGAGAAACGGGAGGAAGGTACCTCCTTCCAGGTGATGCCCCCATGACTGCCTCTTCTGACCAGACCCCATTTCCTAACAGCACGTTTGGCCGTGAGATCATCAGTGAATTAACCCACTGGTGGGTGTGCCATCCCCATGATCCAAGCACCTTCCAGCAGCCCCACTTCTGAACACATGGAACTTCTGGGGGACAGTCTAGATTCAAAGCATAATATCATGTCTGACATGTTTGATTGTGTTTTATTAAAAACAGCTAAAAGTCTCGGCACTTACAACAAAATTTGGAGAAGATATTTATGAAAATGTATTACCTTTTAAAGATAAAAAGCATGCAGTGAAATTTCTGTGATTATATTTCTATTTCAAAGAGGCGCATTCATAAATTTTCATATACATTTAAAATACTTTTCTGCTTTTGAGGTTTCTGAAGATTTTCAGGTATAGAGAATATACTGGAAGTTATTGCTAAGTGGAAGGTTTGATTTGATGTACTTGCCTGGGATAGCACGATACCTTCCTCTTTGTTTTTTTCAGTATTTTCTATTTGAAAAATTTATCAAATTAGAAATGTGAATAAATAGCTTTCAGGCTAACTTTAGATTAATTTTAAGCTCTTTCTAGTTTTCAGTTTCCTCTTTGATGAAAAATGTGGCTATAATAATGAACGCCTCTTGCTGAACTTGAAGAGAGACCGAGTGGAGAGCAGAGCTGGGTTTAATACTCTGTTGGCTGCAGAGCGTATCCAAGTGGGTTATTACACAAGCCTGGACTACATCATTGGAGATGTCGGAATCACGAAAGGGAAACACTTCTGGGCCTTCCGGGTGGAGCCATATTCATACCTGGTGAAAGTGGGAGTCGCTTCTAGTGATAAATTACAAGAATGGCTCCGTTCTCCCCGGGAAGCAGTCAGTCCAAGGTAAAAAGTCTTTATTCATCTAAAACTTAGGAATTATTTTAAAAGTTAATACCTTTGTTTAGCAAGGATAAACTGAAAATGGGACTGGTTTATTTATTTGAAGTACATAGTTCTTTAATTTAGGTATTTGAGTTGTGCCTGTGTGGCTGGCTTAGGAAAGGAGTCAAGTTGCCTTGAACTCACACAATGAATGAGATTTATCAGTTAACATTTGATGTGAGAGGAAATAGCTTTAAATTTTAAAAATATTTTACATGGTCCTAAACTATATCATTAAAAAGCATCCACATTCATAGGAAAATGGTCCAAATGCCACCCTTTTTAAAATTTTTATTAGTCTATGTTTGCAGTACATAACGAGTGCATTCACTATGGGGAGTTGCTACCTGTACACATCTGATAACATCCTCTGGCCATCCTTCACCATTGATTCTAAGTTGTTCTTTTGTTATGAAATACGGTTTCTTTAAACTTTCCCATGTCTTTCACAAAGTTGCGTTGTTAGACATTTTTCTACAACAGATAATTCCAATTTATTGAGGCTGAATAATTAAAATTGTAGTTTAGCTTCTTTTATATGGGATAAATAAAATAAAATAGTCACAATAAGTTTGGCCATTTATGTGAATAGTATCCCAGATTAACAATCTGACAGGAACACTTTTTGCACAGATACGTGAAATTTACATAACACTAAGTATTATCATAGGGCTGTGGGTAAACATAGTGGCATGGCCACTTGATAAGATATTGGTATTAATGATTAAAAGGTTTGTAACACAGAAAATGCTAGAAGCAAAAACCTGATTAAAATTGTTGATGTAGTGTGTATATGCGCGCGCGCGCGCACACACATACACACACACACACACACACGCTATGCATAGGAAAAAAACAAGGCTTGTGTATCCAAATTTATTTTATAATAGAAAGAAAACTATTTTATATTCCTTTCCTAATGTAGAAATCCGTCAGGAATTAAGCAGGCTTTTCTTTCCTCTTATATTATTTTGCAGTGCTTGTTTATTTTATTTAGCTTGATAATTCCTTGGATTAAGACATACATCTTTGTGTTTTCTTTTACACTTTTATGCCATAAATGTTTAGTCCTTGACCAGTCCCATTCACTTCCTTCTTCCCTGCTTTATATCTAGGAGGCCAAAGTTGTTAATGACTTTGTAAGTCCTAAATTGTATACACATCTAGGTAAAAGTGGATAAAGTTTTATGACAAGGAATTTGGGTTTGTGTATATGGAATAATTCTAAATGGCAATGTACTTTAATTATATTTTAATGGAAAAATTTGATGTAAAAGTTATTGTCATTTTAAATCACTATACAGTATATTGTGAAAATGTTTTGAAGCTACGTGAAGACCTATAGATGAGGATACAGGTACTGTGTCTGTATGCTGTGTTTCAGATATGAGCAAGACAGTGGGCATGACAGTGGAAGCGAAGACACCTGCTTTGATTCTTCACAGCCTTTTACCTTAGTTACTATAGGCATGAAGAAATTTTTTATACCCAAGTCACCTATTTCTAATGAACCTGAAAATAGAGTTCTTCCCATGCCAACAAGTATAGGGATTTTCCTTGACTGTGATAAAGGCAAAGTGGGTTTCTATGACATGGAGCACATGAAATGCCTTTATGAACGCCAGGTGGACTGCTCGCACACTATGTATCCAGCATTTGCATTAATGGGCAGTGGAGCCGTTCAACTTGAAGAATCCATCGCCGGGAAATACCTGGAATACCAGGAAGACATGTAGCTTGTATACCCCGTGTGACTCGGATGGAAATGTGAACAATACAGCTCCTCGGTAACTCATTATGTTGTCCACATCTTCTGTGTATTATTCTTCTTTAAACACAGAAAACCTAAACAGCCTTGTCTCCTCCATGCTGTTCTGCTTTCCACAAATGATTTCAGTGAAGACATTTTTTCCTAATTAATCCTGAATGGTTACATTTGCAACTAGATTGTATGTCTCTTTATGAGCAGGGAATCTTAACTTATCTATATCAGCTGGTGTTGCTGATCCATTCCTTATGGGGTGGGGGAGGTATACAGAAGTACTTATTATGCTTTTGTGTTTGCCTTTCGTTTTTGTATCATTAATGTCTTAAGATATTTTTTAAATGTCTATGGTTAGAAGTTAGTATTAAGGAGTGTGTCTCACATTTTAAATTTTAGTAGGGAAACAAAGCTACAGATAAGTTTTTTAAAAAGGCCTAAAATGGTAATATGCTTAAGTGGAAGATGACGTACTTTAAAGTGTGTAACAAACAATTATGAACATATTGCCTGGAAATTAGTTTTGCTTGGCTCGCAGTACTGGAGATTGAACCCAGGGCCTTTGCGTTACACCCCCAGACCATTATTCTTTCTTTTGAAACAGAGTCTTGCCAAGTTGCCCAGGCAGGACTTGAACTTGCAATCCTCCTGCCTCATCCTGCCTTGGTGATGGGATTAGAGGTGTTTGCCACCATGGCTGACTTTTTTTGTTTTGTTTTTTTGGTACTGGGGATCAAACTTGGGTCCTTTTGCTTGTGAGGCAGGTGCTGGAAACACTGAGCTGAATCCTCAGTCCCTTATTTTGTTTTTTAAAAGACCACAAACTGTATCTATAAGGACATTTTGTTTGTTTGTTTGTTTTGGTACTGGGGATCAAACTTGGGACCTTGCGCACTTACAAGGCAGGTGGTGGAACCACTGAGCTAAATCCCATTAAGGACATTTTAAAGAGTTCTTTAGCCCATTAACTGGCATATGTAATAAACATGGTTTCTTACAAAAAGCATGAAATTCTTGGTTAACTTACAAAACTTTACACTTTAGATTATTTTTTTCCAAAAAAATTAATCTTCATTTTTTCCTACTCTATGAAAAGTTTGTGTTTACATCAAATAATTATTTTTCAAAAGTATTAATGAAGATGGAATGTTGAAGTCATATTTATTCTTTTGCCCTCCCTGTGTCTTGTGTTTTTCATTTTTGGCACAAATGTTAATGAATCAGATTTTCCTGGTTTATGTTTACAAATCTGAAAAGCTCATATTTTTAGTAGCATTAAATATATTACAATATCTGGAGTAGCTAATTGGTTGTATGGCATTTTCTACAGCTTATTTTTGGTAGTAAGAATCTGTAGTACAGGCAAATAAAAATAAAAATGGTTTAGTAATAGTAACTGAATAATAATCACTGTACCTTTTTAAAAATTGACATTTCTTTTAATAGGAAGAATTACATTTTATCTTCATTTTTGAAGGATGTTGTTTTAGCTAGGTGATTTTTATTTAGATTGCTTATTTTTTAAGTTAAAGTGGTCAGAAACTATGGCTATTATATATTATAGCACTGATCAGTTATGGAGTGCTATTGACACATTTTAGCAGAGTACCCCAAACTCTTGGGACCTGTTTTTTTTATTCTCATTTTTTAAGAGAAATTGGTTATTCAGATGAGTAGCACTACATTAGGCCCCTCCTGCCCAGGTAGACAATATCATGGAGAATGTGTGTTGAGTCATCTTTATTGCTCCCCATCTATGAATAGCACTTTATGACATCGGCTAATCCAAGCAATTACCCAGCGTTATGTTGATCAAGGTGCAATAAAGCTGCTAAAGTCACAGGTGTGGTTAAGTTGAGCTTTGTGTAAGCACATGTCATGTAGGTGTTTTTAAATATAAAGCTTTAACAGGAATAAAAGCTGTTTCACATGTTGCAGAGTTATAAATTGTTCAACAGAATTTCTTTTGTTTTTAATAAAAATTAAAAGAAAATCAAGTGTAATTATTTAAATCTGTGCTTCTAATTTTTAGTATGTTTATATGGAAAATGGAAACTATGTATTAAAACATTTAGTTAACACAATTTAAAGTTAAAGTTTTATAACTGTTTTGGTTTTTATTAGTTGAATTCTTGTGGCAGTGATCATTAGAAAAAATGTAACTAATGTTTCTTTTTGTTTTTTAATGTTTCTTTTCTGATATGTAGTAGATTAGATTTTAAGATGAGTATTCACTTAATTCACACTCATGCTGTCCCATCATGGGTTTTGGTAGTTGTGCTGCTTAGTGGATCATAATAAGTTGTTACTAATGCTTGATCAATCAGGGCTTTTCTTTGGTTAATAAGAATAGATTCAGAGCTAACCTGTTGATACCACATAATAACTCTCATATTCACAGTTGCTTTTTTTGTTTTTTAAGTGGTAAGAGAGTTGTCTTCTTTTGGGATCTAACATAATATGGGTGTGATAAATCTTTTGCCAGCCTTTATAATCTGGACCCTGGGCAAATATTCCATGTAAGAATATAATCATTCTTTAATTTGCTGTAAAAAAGAATTGAGAGCCAGTGTAGTAGGCAAGAATACTTTCACGAAACTATGCTCTACTTGACAAGATTTGCGTTCATTTTAAAGGAGTTTATCTGCTTGTTTGTGGCAGTAGCCTGACAACGGAGGAGTTTTTGTTTTGTTCATTGCTAGGGAATTTGAACCTAGGGCTACTGTTACATCCCCAGGCTACCCTTGAACTTATTTTCCTCCTACATCAGCCTCCCAAACAGCTGGGATTACAGGTGTGTGTCTCTGTACCTGGTGTCATTTTTGTTTTTAAAAAATAGACTTATAGAGTAGTTTTAGGTTTAGAGAAAAATCGAGAGGAAGGTGGAAAGATTTGCTATATACGCTCTGGCTACGCACAAACCTGGGCTCCCCAGTACCTGAGTCCCTCCCCAGAGTGGTGGGGTTTGTGTCCACTGGTGGACTGGCATTAACAAAACCTTATCACTTGCTATTTCTATCTTATGTTGAGGTTCACTCTTGGTGGTGGTGTACACTCTGGTTTTGAACAAATGTGTTATATTTGTTCACAGTAGAATTGTTTCACTGCTCTAAAAATCCTTTGTGTTGCTATCTGTTCATCCGCCCCTACCCCTCTCTAACCCCTTGAAGGCACTGACATTTCTATTATTTATAGTTTTACCTTTCTCAGAATGTCATTAATTTGAACCATACTGTATGTAGCCTTGGTTTCTTTCCTGATGTACATGTAAGTTTTGTCCTTGTCTTTTGTAGCTTTACGGTTCATTTCATTATAGTGCTTAATATTTCATTGCCTAATGTACCAGTTTATCCATTTACCTACAGAGGGACATTTTGCTTCCTAGTTTTCACACTTACAAATAAAGCTGTTATAAACATCCATATGTAAATTTTTGGGTGGACATAACTTCTCAGCTCTTTTGGGTAAATGCCAAGAAGATCAATTGCTGGATCATATGGTAAGAATATGTTTAGTTTTGTAAGAAACTGCCAAACTATCTAACAAAGTGCCAGCCATTTTCCATTCTCTAATTAGTCTCCCTCCGCCTTCTGTCTGTATCTATTGAGGACTGAAGTACTAAAACATGATTGACCGTCATGTTGGTAGGGGCTTATTGACTGTTTGTCATTGTCATGCGATAAAGTGGCTTTTGTTGGATCCTCTCCTGAGTCGGTATCTGTAGGTCTTTTCTCGGGATGTTCATTTTCTCTAATGAAAAAATTGGATAGTGGTTCTTCAAAACTGTACTAAGGACTAAGCTGAGGTTCCGTCACTCCATAAGCAAACTGTATTTTCACAACCTCTCGTGTACCTAGTATCTCTGAGTAAGAGGTAGTCCTGGGTTTTCTTCAGAATCTCTGTCCTGTCTTCCTTGCAAATTATTGATGATGGTGGTAGTGAATCAGGAGGAGGGGAGAGGTAAATATTATGATATTTACACATTTTTTAATCACCTTTTTCTCTTTTTAAATGTCATATTTCTGAGAATCATCTATTCTTTGGATTACACTGTTCCACCCCCGTTATACTTCCCATCCTCTGCTTTATTTTTCATGGGACTCTTCTTTTGTTTTTTGGTTCTGGGGATCAAATGTTTGGGATCACGTGCATGCCAGGAAAGACTTCCACCCCTGAGCTACACGTCCCCAGTCCTCTTTATAGAACTGAGTGTCACATCTGTTTGCTCCTATAAAATGTAAACTCCATAAAGGCAGGATTTTAACCCAGTTTTTATTGCTCTGCTCCCCAAATCTTCCTTGGTTTTCAGGCCTGTGACTTACCTTTTTTGCCCTTGTGCATGAGTACTTCTAGTCTAGAAATTATTTTTCTTATAAAATATCTTGGGTTACCAGTTCTGCCAATACCTTTGATAAGCAAGCGCTTGACTTCCTTCAAGCGTGCCTAAGGGGCCTTAAAGTTGTTTGTTGATAAGGGAATTCTGTGAACATCCTTAAAGCTGAGTACAGTGACTTGCAGTCCCAGCTACTTGGTAGCCCAGGCAGGAGGATCATGTTCAGAAGCCAATTTGGGCAACACTGTGACACTTTACAGCTTAAATTGTAAAGGTCAGTATATTGTAGTCCATATCTAAAGAGTTGATCTTAGAGTTGACTTCAGTTATTTATAGGGGGAGGACCCCATAAGCAAATTTGGGTAATAGATTTTTTTTTTTTAACTACAGGAAACTACAGTGTTTAGTGCTCATTTGACTTTGACTATAACAATATTCTGTGGGACACATTGCACAGACAGGAATAATAGTACAGATTTATGGACCCTATCTGGCTTAGATTACTATCTGAGATTTGTCATTTAATAACTATGTGATACATTATTAAACTGTGAGCTTCATTGCATTTGTAATAGTTCCAGGGCCCTGTACTTAGGTACAGTAGATCACATTTGCAAAGTATGTAGCAGTATTTGGTGTCAAGGAATGCTATGTGGTAGCTTCACATATACATTTGCTTTTAAATAGCATTTTTGAAAATAGAGTTTAACTTCTAAGATGTCTTTTACAAATGACAAGAATACAATTAAATGGAAAGTTACATTAGGAAAATCACATGTAGTGCACTCAGCTGTTATTTGTGTAGAAATCTTGCTGGACAGGACACAATTATTTTTGTTGTCATAGCTGCTTGGCTTGCCAGGTGGCCCTGGCACACATCCCAAGCCCTAAAGCACAAATGAAGTTACCAAGATAGTCTACCTGAAACAAATTAGAATGATACACAGTGCAATTGCTGTTGTTATTCTATTATTTGGCTATGAAAATGTTTTATTTTTTCATAAAAACAAGAATCAAGAAATCACACATAAAAAAAAAAGATACTTTAGCATGCTGTGCCTGCCACTAATTCATGATGGTTTTTGTTTGTTTCTGGTACTGGGGATCAAACCTAGGTCCTTGTGCTTGTGAGGCAGGTGGCAGGCACCACTGAGCTCAATCCCTGGCCCTCATGACATTTCTTTACTAATGCTGGATGTTTTATTTCAGAAAAAGTCCAGGTATATTCTGATTGCCACTCACCTGTTGTCTAGCTTTGCTCATAAATGC